GGTAACAAAAATGATGACATTATATGTAGTAGAAAAAGAAATGTTATGAGGAGAATTCATGAGACGCTCCTAGCATTTATTGCAATTCATTATGTAAACGTTGAGTCTGTTGTCAAATTCTTAATGTTATTAATTCAGATGAATTACTGTTAATTTTTAAATGTAGTTGCTGTTGGGCTTTAACATCTTGCTTAGTTGTGTTTTTGATGCAGTGATAACATCCTGCAGCTGACCAAGCTATTGTGCTCAGGCAGGCCTGCTGCTCACAGGGTCATAGAGTCTTATCATAGAATGACTTAGGTTGGAGGCTCATCCAGTTCCAACCCTTTGCCATGGGCAGGGCTGTGTATACCTGAAGGCTCAGTGATTCTCAGAACATTGAGTATTGCTGCTATTAGTTTTATTTAAAAGGGGAAAATTGTAAAGGTCTGCCCTGCTGTGGTCAAACATAGTAGCAGAAACTTTGACTTTATGCCTGCTGTATCTGATGGCAGCTGTTCAGCTGTGATTCAGATGACTTGCAGCATGTTCAAATACAGGGAGATGTAAACAGTCACTGCGAATAACTGTGCTAAAGTGATATGTACACCTTTAATAACAGCACAGTGTAGCAGCTGTTAGTGATTTCATCTAACTGCATCACAGCTGAACTCCATGAGGCAGAAGGTGCTGTAGGGCGAAAAACAAAACTGGATGGTAGTTGCCTGTGGAAGCTTTGTGAGCTGATCTATAGCTATGGAAGACAATTGTTGTTTCTCAGAAAAGGTTTCTGTTCAGTGGTAGTTCTGCCTTTTCTGAAATGAATAAGCTGAATCTCATACCAGATTTTGAGAATCACGCAATGGGATTTTAAAGTTGGAACATAATTTTTCCTTTGCTTGTCTTGGCATTAAGCTCTAAGGATGTATGATTGATATCTGTGATATGGATTTCTTCTAAAGAGAAAAAAGGAAGCATTCAGATTGGCATTTTTATCCAGCTCCATGTTTTCTCTGAAACAAAGATATTAATGAAGAGGAAGCATTTGTGCTTCACCCATACCCTCACCTTAAAACAGTGCTAATATAGCAGTGTATTGTTCCCCTGGCAGTGAAGGGAGATGCTTTTTCTTTGTGTGCTCTAGAGATCAGTGTGATGGAAGAGAGGCTTTGGAAGAGCTATAAGGAATTCTGTGTGGTTCCACTGTGCGGAGCTGAGTTAAGCATCCTTACAGAGCTTAGCATTCCCTAGACTGTTAGACCTGTTCTAAAAACAGAAGTAGGAGGATGGGACCTCTATAGAAATAGGTAGGGAGTAACAAAGTGTTTGGAAGCAGGTTTTTCAAAATGCTACATTCTCCCTTCTCTCTTATTTATTCTTCTATTACTCCAATATACTCTGCTCCTTTTGTTTTATTCATCAGCAAAAAGAGAGAAAAGGAATAATTTTCTTTCGTGGAAGTGAAAACCTGGGGTTAAATGTTGCAGAATTTGCTGTTTCTATTCGTTGTGTCACTAGACACATACCTGCAACTACAGGTTTCAAATGGCACGTTACTGATCTTACTACTTAAAAAAGGGAAATAGTAAGCTTTAAGTGTTAATGCTACAGAGGTGATGCTAATACAAATTTTGAAATCTTTGTAAATCTGCACTTTGTAGTGACAAAGAAGAGATGTTCTAAAGCTATATAAAACAAGGCTGGTTTGGTGGGACTTAAGACTGTGAATTTAAATATTTTTGGTTTAGGTGTTATCCTCTTTTAGAAGTAGATTTCTCCCACTGCTCTGGAAGTCTGTTCCATATGGGCCCATCTTAGTTTTTCTTTTTTTATACTTTCTTTGTGATGTAGGAGAACCTTCAGAACATAATTAACACATTTATTTTTGGTGGTGTACTTGCACAGGATTGTAGAAACAGGCTGTATTATAGAGTTGCCTACACTGCAGGGTGAGCCAGAAAACTTTTTCAATAAACAACTGTAGGGTTCAGGAGAATATCTGTAAGGATTAAATAGCATTGTAATAAAAAACTTTCCCTCCATCTAGCTTGCTTTTGTGTATTTGAGATTTGTCACTTGATGCATAATCATGCATCAATATTATGCTTAAGTATCAAAGCGCTGAGTTTTCTGGGAGTTCAGAACTTGGATGTGGGAGAAGATGAAAGAAAGGTGGTCAGAGACAGTGGGATCTGTTAGTGCCTTCAATGCCCTGACATCAAATGGCCTGACAATCTTTTTTTTTTTTCCTATTTTTTTTTTGTGAAGTTTTGTATTGTTGCAGTTCACAGGGTACATCTTGTTAAAAATGCATGGGAAGAATTAGATTTAGAAATCACTTTCAAAACCATCTGGAAGTTTTGGAACGTGGAAGAACAATTCAGTGCATTTTAGGTAACATACTGAAAATGCAGGTTTCTTCTTTTGCAGGTGTAAAGTCTTGCACCTGGGAAGGAAAAGCAGAATGAATCAGTACAGGTTGTGACATGATGTATACTGGAGAGGAGCTCTGCGTTGAAGGACATGGGGGGTCCTGGTGGAGAACAGGTTGGCCATGAGCCAGCAGTGTGCCCCCTTGGCCAAGAAGGCCAAGGGGATCCTGGGGTGCATTAAAAGGAGTGTGGCCAGCAAGTCAAGGGGAGTGATCCTCCCCCTTTTCTCTGCCCTGGTCAGGCCTCGCCTGGAGTACTGTATCCAGTTCTGGGTTCCCCGGTACAAAAAGAAGACAGGGATTTCCTGGAGACAGTCCAGCGGTGGACCACAAAGATGATGAAAGACCTGGAACATCTCTCCTATGAGGACCTGGGCCTGTTCAACTTTGAGAAAAGAAGACCCATAGGGAAGCAGCCATAAACTGGAGTGTAGGAAGTTCTGCACCAGAGGAACTTGAGAAATGCTTGTCCAGTTATCCATTCACAGGGTGTAATTCCTTTATAGGTTTTGAACCCATTTTGTTGTGCCACCATATTACTCAAGTGTGCACACACTCTGTCCTTTCTGCTGTATGCTTGTTAAAGGGACTCTAATATAAGAATGATGTCAGTAAACTCATGTGTGTTCAGTAGAGGGCCATTAAGGCAGTTTGGGGACCAATTTAACATGACATCCATGGGACAGAGTACTTGAATGGTGGGCTTTCTGTAGTACAGCACAAATGCATGCTCTGCACCAGAGTACAGGGATTTATGGCTGGGTGGCTTGCTGAAACCTGTGGGATGTTGTCCTTACCCCATAGCTGTGGGACCTGTGAAAATGCAGCTCTGTACTTGGGAGATGGCTCAGTGCCACACACCTCTCATACTCATATTAGCTGAGTGCTTGGAGGGGCTAGATTTATTACAGGGTTCTAAGTCCACTGGGCAAAGCTCTCAGTTATACAGTCTGATTTTTTGAGAGGCAGGAGTTGAAATCAGTGATTCATGTATGTCCCTTTCAACTTGGGATATTCTGTGATCTAGGACTTCTGCATAGCTATGACTGGTGTAAAAGGCAGAAGTCAGATTGACGTCAAGCTTGTCTTGCAAATATGGGAGATGAAAATCTCTCTTCCCCCTCTGGGTGGCTGTGCTGAAAAACAGCTCTATGTGCTTTCAGGCTCTTTGCTACAGAACGTTTTTTTGTAGCTCCGGCGTTGTGCTTCAATGCTGGTAGTACAGCCTTCTCATGGAGGGATCCCTTCTAACTTGGGGCATTCTATGGTTCAATGAAATCAGCACCCTAAAATGTTGATATTTAAAAAAAAGGTTAATTTATTCTTTTGTTTGAAATAGTCTGTTTCTGACCTCTGGATGGGATGCAGATGTAGGATGTTGTGGAGAAGATCAGAAACACAGTGTGAGAAGAATCCTTTTTCTATTTAGAGATAAATTTTTATGAGCAGAGTCTCCTAACTGTCATCCTACTTATTTATTTTCACAGTCGAGCACTGTTAATTCTGGAACTCATTCTTACACTTTTCATATAGTTTTAATTTTCTTTCTGCTGCTCTGAATTATGTATTATGGGGCTGAGAAGTCCAGCAAAGTATACTGAAGAGAAGAAAAAAAACCCCTCGTAATTTGGCCATGATATATGCTTCAGTGCTTTGGTTTCAAAATCACTTTCTATTTCAGACAAATATTTCTTTTTTCATATACACACTTAAATATGAATATATTATGTGTTGTATTTTAGGCATTGTATTATGCTCTGATTCACAAGAGCATTGTTCCATTTTCACATAACTGCAGCAATTTAAATGAAACAATATTCTAAACTGCAGTGTTTCTCAGTAAGGTTCCCAGTAATATGTTACTGCATCTGTCATGTAATTTAAAATGAGTAATATAACACAATTTTTCATTACATAATTTGATACTTTGCATAAAATTTTGGCCTGGGTACGGGATTTGGAACTGCTCCTAAACTCTCCCAAATCTAGTGTTGGATTTCCACAGTTTCTGAACATTAAGCAAGTCCTGTATTATTGAAACAACAAAACCCTTTACCTGGTATCTAACTTAAGCAAAAGAATTGGTGACACTGTTTCAGGGATTACTTTGCCTCTCTGGTGCATTAATCTCTGCCTTTATTTTGCCCTGTTTAATGCAGCAACATAGCGATTTCTTGAGAAAATGTTTGCATAATAATATTTGCACAATGTTTTGCATGCTGTCTTTGCTAATGCAGTTGATCTATCTCCCTAAAAGGTAATTTCAGATTCCAAGAGGTGGCAAACTTGTGATACACATAAGCTATTACGCGGGCACTGGGGGCACAAAATAAGATCTTAAATACACTTTTTTTTAAAGCTTATATAAAATGTTTCTCTACAGTGTTGAACTGTCTTATGAATGAAAATGTTTCTACCAGGGAAGTTTGCCATATAGAAGATACTGCAGAATATCTGTATGTACAGTTTAAAGAGACTGAGACTGTGGTAAGGGAGTGGTCAGCCTGTTGCTTAAGTTCTACAGTGTGTTTGCTGTTGCTATAGGTACAATAGAAAATGGTATTACACTAACATCAATGTTTGCTTTCAGCTTGGGCCATAGTGACTGAAGCAAACTGTAGCTGGAACACGTTTGAGCTGAAAGAGGCAGCATCCATCACCTAAGTATCATCTATGTGGCTCTGATTTTTCTTTTAGCCCTTCAAAGGTCTTGGATCAGGTAAGACAGCTTTAATTTTTGTCCTAATTATTCTTTCTATACAGTGATGATATAAAAGAATGAAATCGTCTTCTGATTACACTGCAGCATATTGTATTTGTTTTTTATTTTAGTTTGAGCAAAAAATATTTGTTTGCAGCATTCTAACAAATATAAAATTTTTGTGTTTGTTTATTTGAAATCTTGTCTTTGTCCCAATACTGTAAACCTATTCTGGAGAAGTTAATCACATTTCCTTAGACACGTGCTTATTGCTAGTTAATTCCTTTTTCTTTTATTTATTTATTTATTTTTACTAAGAAGCTTAATATCAAACTTCTGCATTTGAAAAAAAAAAAAAAGTGGTTATGAGTACATGTTCAAAATAGATCATGTTAAGAGACATCACTTTTAAAAGTTATGGTGCATGTTTAGAAGTAGCACAATCTGTTAGAGTATAAAACTGTGAAAAATATGCAAATGAGAATGAACAGCTTCATATTTCCCTTTGTAACTATCACCTGCAGTCCTCCCTACTCTTTGTGCTTTTAATCCAGATGGAAAACTTTGTGCTTGTGAAAATTTTTTTTCAAAGTTGTTACCAACTTCACTGCTTGCACAACTCAAGTGAAGTTGAGAGGATTTAGCTGGCAGAAATCTTGATTTTAAACACTTTAAAAAGCCCATAAACCACATTGAGGTAGAGAAACCAAAACCACTTACTGGTTTACATGACCTGTCTTGTAAATTTTCTCCCACTCAGTTAATGAAAAGCACCTTTTCATATATTTATAGTGCTGGCCGTGAGCCCAAGCACAGTCATTGTCAACTTTGCCATCTACTGCTCTTGCCTCTTGGCTGAATGTGGGGTATACATTAGCAAGCAGTGTTAGTATATATATTTATATTACATATAAATATTGTCTGCTTACTGTACTGTAAGTTCAGGTTCATGGATTTTTCCACTGTGGCAGAATATGTGAAGAGTATTCCATCCAGAGTCTATGAAAAAGGGCACTAGAGTGTTGTTGAATGGCCAAATACATCTTCAAAAACGTTGCTTGTGACATTAGAGAAAAAGAGTACTCGGCATCTCTTTCTCTCTAAAAAAAGATCAAAGTGTTTCACTTCTATAGCTCCCAAGCTCTAATTCTGAATGACTGTTACCTACAGCTATGCAGATTTCTAGGAATAAAAGGACAAAATAAACAAGTTGTGGCTGCTGTTGGGAAAAAAAGCTGTGAAGCTCTTGATGTAAGATATTTGATTCATAAACTTCTCAGTTCAAATACTATGTTTAGACTGCTGTACTGGTTAGCCTTCATCACCTATCTTCTGTGGTTTCCTGAAGGCTTTCTGTATTAAGCAGCAGCAGTTATATTCTTTCCATAAAAAAACAAATCATATAGTTCAAACTTTCCAAATGTTCATAGCAAAGTCTATGCATTACCAGTGAAAACAGAATCTTACTGTTCTTGAGACCACATGAACAAGCTGTTGAACATGGTTTCTGCCTTAGCACCTGCAGGTTTTTATATAGAGTGGCAAAGTGCAGTGAGGGAATTGAAACTTTTTATCTGCCATACCCTCTGTATCCCACCTTTCTGCTTAAGTGACAAGGTATAGAAGCAGCTTCAGTTATAAGATAAACTGTAAGGATTAAGGCTGCAATGGATACTAGCTCATGCAGTCTGGAACCTCTTCAGGCAGTTTCCCTAGTTTTGTTTCATAGTTTCTCAAGTCAGTTCACCTTAAGTCTGTGAAGAATCAACTCATGGCTAGTAGAGTTATTTCTCAAGATGAAAGACATTTGATTGAAGGAGTTGTTGATTTTTTTCTTTTTAAATAAAAACATTGCTAATTTTAATGCGGCCAAATGTTGCAATGAATTCTGGTATACTGGCCTATAAAGTGTAAGGCTAGGAAAATTGACTTTCCATACATTAAGATGTGTTCAGATCACTCTTTCATGGAGAAATTTCTGTATTGTTATTCCCAATGTTGAAGAGCAAAGATAAAAGGACATGCTTGGACGACATGATCATTGCACTGTCTTTTAGATTCAGTAAATTAAAATGAAAATCAGCACACAAATATTTTATTTTTTTTATATTGTTTTTGGTAGTCAGGAACCAGACGCGAAGTTAGTTTGAAAGTCTGTGAAGCTGATAACTGTTCCAGAATAAGCAGTAGTGAATGCATCTTAATGGGATGTAAGATGGCCTGGAGCTGCCTTATTGCAGAAGTGAGCTTGATGCTACATTGTTCAGAGTTCTTCTCAAACTATGCTTTGCAGACATACAGCTGAGTTGGGTCTGAAAGCTGAGCATGTAAACACAGCAAGTTTGTGTTTATTTCTAAAGAAAAAAACAGCAAACTACAGATAATTCTGGATGCCAAACTCTCTCATGGAGTTCTTTGATGGGGTTCCTTGAACTGAGTCAGGACTGCAGAGTCAGTAACTAGTTGGATTTAACTTATCAATGTTCTTCTGAGGGAAATATATTCTACTTTTCTTGTTTGTGTCTACAGATAATTGCTAGTGCTAAAGGGAATTACATAGCTATATCAATATTTATAGTACTGGCATTAACTTAATTATCCTATGGTAGCATAACACACAAATGTTGGTTATCTATACCCAATTTTATTTGCACATGAAAAAATGAGTTGTCTAGTAACTCTTTTGAATGTTTTAATGAGCTTCTCCCTGTCGATGTGAATGTTCTATATGTTTACTCTTTGTGCCATGGCAATACATGCTTTCTGTTTGTTTGTGTGCTCTCTACTGCCTTGGTATCGCTTTTATCAGAAGATCATGCAAAATAAACAGTATCCGTAGAAACTGCAAACTAAACATGGCAATTGTTGCCAATCGATCAATTGCTGCCATATAGTTTGTGGTTGCATTTAGCATTTTGAAATATGATAACGATCACTTGGGAATGACTTTCAAGTCATAGCTGTACAATACTCGGTGATAAAAATTGCCATCTGTGAGATCGTACCTGAATGATGAAACAGCACAGGAAAAGTACTTGTTGTTGTGCAAGGAACCAAGTGTGTTGTGCCAAGTGGCATATGAGGAAAATATAGTTATGATACAAACTGTAAGATTGGGCTCTGTTTCCTTGACTTCAAAAGAGTAAATAGCTGTAGAGTGTCATTCTCTTCCCTTCTAACACGCACATTTTGTGGGGACAGTTCAAACAGATCTCAAACCAAAGCAGACAAAACTTGAGGTAACTTCTGATGGCTCACTTCAGTCTGTCTTCAGCTCCACCAATCTTATGTAGTAGAAAGAAAATATGAACATAAAGAATGAAATAGGAAATTCTACACAATCAGGAATGATGATTAATTGCTTTTCTCGTTACTAATACAGTTTCTTATTACTAATGCAAATCAATATAGTTTTAGGGAAGTAGATTTGAAAGAGGAAAGGACAAAATCAGAAATTGTTGAAATTTTTACCATAGGTTGTCATGGTAAAAAGTATTAACACGCTAAGGAAGGAACAGAAATATCTAAGGGGGAATAAATTTATCAACAGCTGTTGAATTGTATGGTCTGAAAGCAACCTCAAACTCAGGATACCACTCGCTGATGAGATTTGGTGAGTGTAGTGAACCAGAGAAAGGAGCTATAGAAACAGTGTTTATGTACTTCCTCTCTAAATTGTACTGTTGACCATGGTCAGAGATTCTGACTAAATTGATATTTGCTCAGATTAGCCCAAGAGTTCTTAAGTTCAGGTATTTTTCTTCACAGTGATGAAAATCCTGCTGTCCTGGTATAGGAGGATAGTAATGCACAAAATTGTGACTGTGAGGATCTAACTCAGTCATGGAAATTTTATCACGCTGACGTAAAGCATCCTCTCCTTCCTCCATCTCCAGTTTTCTTGCTGACAGTTTACCCAACAGGAATGTTTTATTCCATCCATATACCCCAAGTCTCTGCTGCACGATTAATGAAGACTATTTGTCAAAGCGGGGCTGTCTCATTGATACGTTCTACCACAAGTTGTCAGAGTTCTTTGAGACTCAACAAGGCAGCAGAAGACTTTGAGAGTTACATTTCAAGAAGCAATACTTTATGCAGAATTTCTGTTCTCTACTAACTTCCTCTGCCTCTTCACCAAAGTGTATTCTTCTGAATTTTGTGGCATCATTGTTTATTGTCATGACTAAACTTCAGATTTTTAATCTTATTAATGACTTGTGCATTTGTCTCCCATCAATTTTGACTACAAAAATCCTGTAGCAAGCCAGGCTACAACCTACAAGATAACTGTTTATTCCTCTGAGTATTCTAACAGAAGTTAAACTATTCAGATCATAGAATTCTTAAGGCTGGAAAAGACCCCTAACATTATCTAATCCAACAATCAACCCATCACTTCCTTGCCCACTAACCACGTCCATCAGTGCTACATCTATATGTTTTTTATAGTAGGATCATTTAAGTTGAAAAGGACCTTTTAAAGATCATCTGGTCCACCTGCCCTGCAATGAACAGAGACACCTACAGCTACACCAGATTGTTCAGAGCCCTGTCCTGCCTGACCTGGAATGTCTCCAGGAATGCGGAGTCCACTGCCTCTCTGGGCAACCAGTTCCTGTTCCTCACTTCCCTTTGTATACATATTACCACTTTGGCCCAGAAGACTTTACATAAACTGAAAAGACTTTAGACAAACCATCTCTAGACAAATCAAAATATATTTGGGACTTAGAACGTGACATTAAGCAATTGACCTCTGTTCTGCAGAAAAAATTAAAGAAATAAATCTGTAACTGTTTCATTACAAGGAAAAGTGTCCAGATGGCTTACTGAGGTTATCAGTAGATCACTACAGCAGCAATGGAGAGAGAATTTCTCCTCACTCTGCACTTCAGGCAGGTCTGACTCTTTTCTTGTTTCTGTTGCCCTGGAACCTTGAACCTGACCTGATGATACATCTGCAGCAGCAAAGGACAAGTAAACGTATTACCTCCCTTCAAAATTGTTGCCTGGAC